CACCCGATTTACATGATTCAAGTACTTGAAAGCAATTCTTGCTCATTCTCTTTTGTGTTTTCTATTTGCTTTTACACGTTTCAATTCTGTTGAATTCAAGTTTTTGGTTCTTTAAATGGGAAGCAACGAAAATGCCAAAAGCAAAGCAAGAAAGTTGAAACGACTTGACGGTACAGACGCATGTGTACTCGTCCCTTTTCTTCTCACCCCCTCTCTTCCACATGCGAGCAGAATTGAATTCAATACTTGAACTGTGTAAAAGCAGTCTTATTATAACCTCAAATCGCTGGTATTGCCACTTTATTTCACATTTCATTTGCGCTATTATACTCAGTTTACACTATACACTATGAAAATTTTTAATAAAAAATCGCGCGATTTTTTATTAAAAATTTTCATTATTTATATATATATTAAACGAAAGAAGATACCGAAAAGCATTGAACAGTGCACACATCTCATAAGGAAAAGTGAATTATTACGAAATACTAATACAGTGGCAGCACTATAGCTATTTTGGAATCTCGCGTTTGGGCTCGCAAAGATTGTCAACTTCTTTTTAATAACAAAATAATCCATCTTAGGTTGATAAAACTATGTGTTTCTTTAATAAATAAGTTAAATTATACATTTTAATAGTGTTTAAAAAGTGAGAACAGGTGATTTAGTGAATCTTTGTCGGTTTAATTGCCCATAGAAAACAACGAAATTTAACAAAAGTTTTTTGTTCATAACTTTTAAATGGTTAATAATATTAGGCCCCCCCTCCGGATTGTTATTAGGGGGGCCGAAACGCGTCGTTTGGTACCCCTCCCGACTTTTCCGCACCTTTTTTAGGGGTTGTTACCCGACCCTAGAGAATTACCAATCTGAGGTTCCTTTGAATTGCTACCCACAAAATAAACAAAAATCAGCTGAATTTCATTTAAAAATTTGGTAGCACAAATTCGAACTTAGTGCGCATTTAAGGCAGAACTAACTACGAAAACGTCGGAATTGCGAATAGCATTTTTCCCGAATTCGTGACGGGAATTCTGTTCACACCGGGAGTTCGTTCGTAGTACAGAATAGGGCTGTTTACCTTTGTAGTTTGAGTTTATGACATTACGATACTAGGATTCTGGTACTTGGTTCCAAAAATATCGTTTTAAAACTACCGAGTAAAACATATTGGTATCGAATGCCAAAAGTATCGATATGGTATCGTATCGTATCGAAATTCGTATTCCTATATTCAGCAAATCGCTAATTCTGGGTGGGGACACTTTCGTAAATAAATTGATTATTTAAAATTGAATTTCATCTTGTAACTTGTAATGTTAATTCCCTTTTTTTAATTCCCGGTTAGTCTTCAGCCCCGGTAAAATAAGAATTATTGGAGATGATTTCTTTAAAATCTTCAGTACTGGTTAGCACACTACTTATGTGTTTATTGCAATTGGGTCAGTATAAATGAGGTACAGAATTGTTTCGAAGTACTTTATGCAAATTTTTTTAGGGTCGACAATTAAATGCTGGGACTGTCGCTCCGATAATGATCCAAAATGTGGGAATCCTTTTGATAACAGTTCTTTGGTGATTACGGATTGTGCGCATGAGCCTGAATTATTGCATTTGCCTGGCGTTCGGCCGACAATGTGCCGGAAAATTCGTCAAAAAATGTATGGTGAATGGAGGTATTTTCGAAGTTGTGCCTACATGGGTGAACCAGGAATTGAAGGAGATGAACGGTTTTGCCTTATGCGCACAGGAAGCTACAACATTTTCATGGAATATTGCACTTGTAATAGCAAGGATGGTTGTAATAGTGGAAGTTTCCCGAGCGGGAATAAATTTGCAATATTTCTTAGTTCAATACTGATAGGAATAATAGCTTGGACACTCCATATCTAAAGACACAGCTGATCGCATGTGTACGTCTGCATACTAATGAAAAATGCCTTATATAACGATTTTTTGATCGTTTACGCGTTTATGTAAATTTTACATTGCAAATTAGAAATGCCATCCTTAGGCGAACTAATAGCCGAAGTACAAAAACAAAAACTTGCATGTATTTTGCTTTCGGTACACAAATATAAATTTTCTGTTATTTTTTGCTCAAGGAAGAAGGGGAAAAAAATTCTAACACTCGAAGCTTTTAGTCTGTTCCTTTGAACTTCGGACTAAAACCTGTGGAACTGTCAAACTACAATTTTACGCTCTCAAATGAGAGTAAAAGCAGAACAGATGCAGAAGTGCATAGGAACACAAAAAGCACTATTTCCTGTAAAAACGTCAGACGGCTTGTTTACATGTCATTGGTACTACACTAATTTGGCTGAAATATCACTAAATAATTATTAAAGTCTATATATATTCAAATATTACGTTGTTTACTTCCATTTTTTAACAAGTATAATGGCGCATTTACATGGTATGAAACCATATGAACTGTTGATACGCTAAAATAGAGGGACTACATGTTCTAATGAGGAATTCAATGATATCGAGTGGGATGCATATAATAAATTTTTTCATATGAAAAGTTATGGGGAGATACTGTAAACATACTGTTGTGATACTGTTAAGCATATGAAATTATAGCAAGTTGAATTTTCATACATCTTCCCATAAAAAGTTTAACAGATGCAGAGATACCAAGGGGGGTTTTT